ATCACTTCGTTCGGGATGTTCTTGAAGATGGCGATGTGGAGATTGTTAAAGTCCACACGAAGGATAATCCGGCAGATATGCTCACTAAGGTGGTTTCGAGTAACAAGTTTGATCATTGTCGAAACTTGTTGCATATTCGTGATTGTTGAGGCCGTTGGCGGCCATTTGGATGAACTACGTTCGGCTTGATTCCTTGGGCAAGAGGATACGTAGGCAGTCTTTCAGATGCAGCCGGTTTGGATTAGTTAATTTTTGATGGGGGTGAGATTGTTTGGACTCTCGTTCGGGTTCTCGACTTATTGTGGATTGAGTTCATACTGGACACAACAAGTGGGATATTTGGTTGCTTTGGTGTCGGTTCAGTTTTGAGAAAACTTCACCGATGTGGAGAATTGTGAAAGAAGTGGGACATGGGCCACATGTGTGAAAGAAGTGGGATGTGGGCCACGTGTGTGAAACAACCGTGAATGAAGCGGTTTAATTCTTTCAACAGGAGCTGGCCCACCCGATGAATTGAAGCTATATATATAGCTTCAATTTCTCTCCTAGGTTTCGGTGCAGGAGTGCAGGGAACTTTGATTTTTTTCGGCTGTGGCTTTTTCTCGGCTTGGAGCAGGTGCGAAGGAGTTCTTGGTTTTTATTTTGTGGCTGCAGTTAAAGAGATTTTGTGTAGTCCCTTTATCTAGGGTTTTGTGCATCTCTTTGAGAGAGTATTTGTGTGAGGGATTTGAGAGTTTGTTTGAGTGTTTAGATTGAGTGATTGTAAACCCTAGTTGTATTCTCTCGCTCTATTAGTAGATCTCCCCCCTCCTTGCCCCGTGGACGTAGGCAATTTGCCGAACCACATAAAATTGGTTGTACTGCTATTTGAGTGATTTGTAATAGCTTTTTAGGTTCCCTCGACGCGCAGTCCTAGAGCTGACGAGAGGAAGAGCTAATATCTCATTTGATAGGATATTAGGCTTCATATTCTTGTTCCCTTTGAGAAACAAGAATTCTTATTGCGACCTAACTCTCTTGTTGTGCTGCCGAAGTGCTGCCGAAATTTCCGCTGCGCGCAACATTGTCATACCAGTTTCAAACTACTCTGTAGTCTTTGAAGCTAATTTAAGGAAAACTGATATAAGATTGACAACACGTCATGACACATATTTCTCATCCTCTATATGTGTAGACTACAGATTTAGCTAATCTCTAATTGTGATAAACAAGAACTAGAGCTTGTTTGTGGTCGTTGACTAATTAATTAAGTGCTTACCAATTAATAATCTTGTCCAAGGAGACGAATGAAGACATCAAAGGTCACTGAGGGAAGATAATATCTAGAGATTATCATATCAATAGCAAAAAAGATGATCAATCACAATCCCCAAGATAATGCCACCAACTCAAACAACTTAAAACCCTAACGTACAATAACATATCAAACTAATTAATCAGAGAAATCAACACATGGCCATCTTCATATTAGATATATCCAGCAATTCTGAGCTGTACGTGCACCATACTTGTATTATGTAATGCATGCCACCAAGACGATATCTTTTCAACGACAAACTAAAGCATATTATATAAGTAGTTGAAAAAAACACACAGAGTTGTCCTTATACATCCTTAAGTGGCCCATACATGCAAGATATTGTGTTCAAGTATTCCTCAACAATAAAACATCTCCTCAATCCATGCATATTGAGGGAAAATGAAGTACAAAGATGTCAAAAAAAAAAAAAGATATAGCTAGGACCAGAAAGATAGAGAAAACAAGAACTCCTAATTCTCCTTAAAACGTGATAAAAATCACGTGAAAAAAAGGAGAAGTGCAAGGAGAAAAAACAACAACGAATTAACATATATATACAGGAGGCAAACCATGCACATATGCAGAAAAAACAAGTGTAGAGTCGAGGTGAAATCAAAAGAGTGAGAGCTATTGCGAGGAAAATCCCTTCGATCCATCTGCGAAGAGAAAGTAACAAAGATAACAACTAGGGTTACAAATTCTTGTTGACATCTTTATGCATATTCTGCATATTGATTCATATAGATAGTTTAGTTACCAGTTGAGCTGATGAAAAATTGATCTAATCTTCTCAGCAAGATCCTTCACTGTCATGGAGAATCCTTCTTCAACCTGAGAATATAAATAAAGCTCACAAATTAATTAGGTCTATAAACATGCCAAGGAACTTTACCACACATCAAACACACAAACATGCATAATTATTTATTTATTTATATGTATGCATGTTTATATGTGTGTATAATTTGTATGTACATTATGTGTGCCATATATATATATATATATATAGTAAAACTTATCTCAACTTAAGTGGACTATCCACCAAAGTTTCTATCCATTGATGATACCTAGAGATCCGTGCATCATATGAAGAGACTTTTCATCAATGGATAGAAACTTTGGTGGATGGTCCACTTAAGTTGACATAAGTCTCTCTCTCTCTCTCTATATATATATAT